CGCCGCACTGTCGGGGGGTCAGTGCTGAGGGGGCGCCGCACTGTCGGAGGGTCAGTGCTGAGGGAGTGGGCACTGTCGGAGGGTCAGTGCTGAGGGAGCGCCGCACTGTCGGAGGGTCAGTGCTGAGGGAGCGCCGCACTGTCGGAGGGTCAGCGCTGAGGGAGCGCCGCACTGTCGGAGGGTTAGTGCTGAGGGGTTGGTGTCTGTAGCATATGGTCTGTCTCTGGTGCTTTCACTGTATCTCTGTTTGACCCTGTAGTGTGCCACCTCCTTATTGATGCTGATCATTGCGGATATCTACACTCTAATCAATTACGTGGTGTTCATTAACTATTTGTGCTATGGGGTTACTGTGACTGCAGTCCTCATCCTTCGCTGGAAAAAGCCAAACATTTCGCGACCCATTAAGGTAGGTGAGGGACATGCGGTCTGGTGTTTTCCACTTCACACCTCTTGATTCTGATTCACTTTTCTTTCTCTCAGTATCTCACTGGGTCCGAATCATGTCTCCTGCCACAGTGACTGTTTCTAACAAATTATTTTACAACACACTAACCCTGCCAACCTAACTGTCCAGCTCATGCCCAGTTTTCCTGGAGACATGGACACCCATAGCACAACTGAGACCGTTCAGCCCATTCTCTCTCTGTTGCCCAGTGGCTGACTGGTGATAAGAGGAAAATCTCAGTGAAGACCGTTCCCTATGAGTCTGGATGTACTCCTGGTACTGGCTCTGTGCCTCACAGTGTAGCTAACATTCACAAATGCATGAATTAAGAGCAGGAGTAGGCCACTTGGCCCCTCTGTCTCTGCTGCACCATTCAGTAAGATCACAGCTAATCTAATAACTGCACTTTCCCATCCAGCGCTGACATTCAACCTGATACATGCATGAGGACACCCAGATCCGTCTGCATTCCAGAAATCTGCAACTGCTCCCCATAGCCCTGTATCAAATCCCAAAATAATCCCACTGCCCCACTCTCTCCCCATAGCCCTGTTTCAATCCCATATTAATCCCATTACCCTGTTCTTTCCCTGTAGCCCTGTACTAATCCCATACAATATGTTCCTGTCCTGAATCTGAACTCACAGTTTTGTTCACCTACAGAATTACCGTGAGCCTATAGTGTAGCAACACCTGGAGTTTTAACAGGTAAACATGTTTCCACATCCACCCATGGCCCCAGCCCTCTCCATCTCTGTTATCTCCTCCAGCGTCACCAACTCCTGAACTCTCTGAAATTGTCTAATTCCAGCCTCTTGAACATTCCCAATCCCCAACCCCAAATTGTGTCAGGTCCTGTACTCTGCAGTTCCTTCCTAACTCTCTGCCCCTTTAAAATGATCCTTAAAACCCAAAGTGTCTCCTTTCCAGGTCCTGCCCTAACATCTGATATGACTCAGTACTAAATGTGGCATATCTTGGGCTGTCACTATATAAACATGATATCACCTGACTCCACAAAGCTGTGTGTGGAGCTGTAGTGACTGATTTCAGTCTCCGTTCTCACTGCAGGTACACCTTCTGTTCCCAGTTGCTTACCTGCTGTTTTGGGCTTTCCTGCTGGTCTTCAGTTTCTACTCTGAGCCTGTGGTGTGTGGCACTGCCCTTGTCATCATATTGACCGGTGTTCCTGTCTATCTGCTCGGAATCCAATGGAACAAGAAGCCAAAGTATTTCAACGATATGATTGGTGAGACTGGAGCAGGAAATAATGTGAACTGGAACCTTTGTCAATTTGTGGATGTGGGTAAAACTGGAGAGTGTGAGAAATGATGGTGTATGTTATCAACAGCAGAAAGAATTTAAAGCAGCTTGGGATTATAGTCTATCAGATGAATACTTGACATGTTGGATTAAAAGCATTCTGCAGGAGCAGGGATCAGTCTGGGGTTAGTACAGGACCAGATTACAACAGCACTGAACTCCTAGGACTGATTCTTACTGTTACCCCACTCATCACAGCTCACAAACCTGTAAATGACCCTTCTGTTTATATTCTCATTTTCTTTTTGTAACCAATCCTTAATCAGTTTGAAAATATTACTTCAAACTCATGAGGCCTAATTTTGTATACTATGACAAGCTCTGGATACAATGACAGTGGAGTAACGGTACTGTCACTGGGCTGTAATCCAGAGGCCCAGGGTAACGCTCCCACCGTGGAAATTTAAAATCAATAAAATTCTGGAAATAAAAGCTATTCTAATGGAAACCATTAGGTTCACTAATGTCCTTTTAGCGAAGGAATCTGCCTTAGCCTGGTCTGGCCTACATGTGACTTCAGACTCTGAACTGCCCTCTGAGAAATAATTGCTGGTCTAACCAAAGACACCCACATCCCATAACTGAACTTGAAGCTGTACCTGTCAGGAGTGATTTTTCGTTCTTTTAATCCAACATATAGGCTCTTTCCTTCTGGAAATGATTGAGAGGGGACTTGATAAATGTTTTTAAGTTTTGTGACGTAGACGTAGAGAGGTTGTTTCCACTTGCAAGTGAAACCAGTACTAGAACCATAAATATATAAACATGCATAGGCAATATTATTTCCAATCAGGAATTCAGGAGAAACACAGAGAGAGGACAGAACAGGGAGATGTTGTGGGGAATAGCACAAAGGGTATTTAAGGGGAAGCTGGTTAAATAGGTGAGAGAGAGGAATTTAAGGATACACTGATAGGAAAAGATTAATTTAAATTTTGATACTGAGATTGATACAATTTCTCCAGCTTTTCATGTTTTTATTTCAGATTTCCAGCATCCGCAGTATTTTGCTTTTATTTGAGTGATTTTTATTGATTAAGGGAAATGGAACCAAGGCAATTCAGAGAGGTGCAAAGCAACTGCGATCTAATTCAATGAGAGGACAAGCTTGTGGGACTGAATGGCCTCCAGTTTCCCCTCACATTAGTGAATGAAGAAGTGCTTACTGATTTCACTCCTGAACAGCCTGGCTGGAATGGGAAGGTTGTTGTCACCCCTCCCCTGGCCCACTGTACTGGATTAGTCCCCATCAGATGATCCTGAATCCCTTTCCACCCAAACCAAATCCTCAGTCAAGGAAATAACAGGAAGGGATAAATAATGGGAGATTTTTACAGAGGCTTTGGTCCAACTCAGTCTGATACCGTGACCCATTTTGATGAGAAATTTCAGCTTCCCAGTTCTCCCTAGGTTCACCCCGACCTTAAACATAGTTGGCTTTTAGTTTAAGAAGCTGTGCTGCAAAATAAATTGAGTTTTGCATAGACCATGCCTGGAAAACTGCAGTTTTGGTCCTTCTACAAAAGGAGGGACAGATCTGTCTTTTGAGGAGTACTCCACAGGTTCCTCCCCTGGTTCCAGTGACAGTGAGGGCTGTCCTTTTATGAGAGATAGAGTTTAAAAAAACTGAGGAATTTGCATTAAAATATGTAGACGGAGGTAGTTTCTCTGGGCTATGTTTATTATACAGCATCCAGTTGATGTCCTCTTCTCTTTCAGAATCTATTACGCATTATGGACAGAAATTCTGTTTTGTTGTTTTCCCACAAGAGGAGACTCCAGAAGAGAATGGCCAGCCTCCAACCTTGAATACAAACAGAAAATCCCGGGTTGTGTAGCTCACCCTGAGCTTTGACTGTGCCTCAGAACCGTACCAACCAGCTGTTCACCAAGCTGTGACCAACAAGGACAGTGGGAAAGGTTTTGCCAAAACAAAAAGGGAAAAAAAATATGGCTGGCAAAGGGAGAAGTTCTGACATTTTCTGTTTTGGGTAAAGTGATAGAGTTCAGTAGATCTTATGGAAAGTCTGTCTAACCACCCGAAGAAAGCTGGAGCCTCTGAGACCAAGTGTAGCAGATCTGACAGGCTCTGATTGGGATCGATACAATCCACGTTCTGCCTGACAGACAGACCTGATCTGAGCTTCAATCACTGTTAACATTATGGAGTAGCCAATTCAGTTCAAGCCCCGCTACTTTTTCAGTGTCAGTAACCAGGAAAGTACAACTTGGTGCACTGTTCATTAACTGTATGTTAATTCTCTATGTATCCCATTCTCCACCCCAATCTTCCCTGACCCTCTGAACACTCCACTGCTCATTGCTGTTTATTCTGCATCATCTCCAACTCCACAGTCTCTCACTGTGGGAGCTCTCATCGCACCAGCCCTGACCCAGTGATCAGGATTAGCCCTGACCCAGCAATCTGGACGCACTCTGACTCAGTGATCCTGATTATCCTTCACCCAGTGATCCAAACTGCAGTGCCAGCCCTGTTTCATACTTAGCCCACAGGCTGCCAGCTGGTGTTGTTTTACCACAAGCTGTGTTTCTGAATCCAGCATTGCGTCCAGTGGGAATTTCTGCTCATGAGGAATTCCCAAAAAGGACCGGACTGGAAGGACAGGAAGAACAGGCTTCGTGGTCACATTGGCACGCTGCTGTCCTGAGTCCATTTCCCTATCCTTACTCTACACTACCTTCTGCTGATTGCAGCTGAGAATTGTGCTAAAGATTGAGGAACTGGATCAAAATGAAATGCCGAATCCTCAACCACTCACTGCTGATTCCCCAAACCACCAGACATAAGCTCCTTTCACCAGGGGGTGGCAGTAGTGTCACTAATCGTGAAGCAGGAGGACTTTGAGGACAGACTTTGATTTGACCCCTTAAAGTCCTTCTGTTCTTGAAGTTTATTCCTTTCCTAATAACTTAACGTGGATTTTTTAAATGAGTTTTTAATGAACCTGTTACACTGAACACTCAAGGCGCACAATGTCTCCTTTTGTGAAAAGCTCAGGTAAACTACAGAAGTCCACATGTATTGAACAATTTAGAAATTGTGTTTTCACAACTGAGGGCAAAACATAACTGCATTCTCAACGAGTGCCACTCACACAGCAAGACCCTAACCCTGATCCTAGACCAGTTAGAGCTCAGCAGGAATCTCCTCATCAAAAAGACAGAAACATTTGTGGAATCAAGTATTATTTCAGTGATTTCACCACAAGATCCAGACACGTGCAGTGCATTACAGAGGGAGCGCCGCACTGTCGGAGGGTCGGTGCAGAGGGAGCGCTGCACCGTCAGAGGGTCAGTACTGAGAGAGGGCCACACTGTAATTCAGAGACACAACTGTCTTTATCAGTACTGCACCCCACTATTAAAGAGTCATGTGTCTCCACCAGTACTGTACCCATGTTACACAGTGACAGACCTGTCCCCACCAGTACTGTACCCCAGTGTTACACAGTGACAGACCTGTCCACACCAGTACTGTACCCAAGTGTTGTACAGCAATAAACCTGTTCCTAGCAATTAAGCTGAAAATGCTTTTTCCAAATAGTTTGTCTTTGCATGGAGTGAATCAACTATGCAATCAATAGCTGTTTTCATAATTCAATTTGACATGGTGATACTTTCACATCCATTCTTGCACATAATTGAAATCCAAATGACAATGCATTCACTCCATACGGCACACTGCTTGTAGGAGCTTTGATGGACTACAGAGTAATTTAATGTGAAGTTATGTGCCTGCACAGCTCCAACGTTTTGGTAGAAATGTATAGTAGACGTGTGAATTTCAGCATCGGAAAGTAGACTTGAATCACACTATAACGGAATAGAGTTTGATCCAATCCCTACCCTCCCACTCCCCTTCCACAGACAGCACATTCCTGAATGCAGTTAGCAGTTACCATGTAAGCGAACTTTCACTGAGGGGGGTGTTTTACTCCCCAGCATCATAATGACACATTTTAACCTTCTGATACAAACTGCTACAAAACAGGATTGCAATTTCATACTTTGTTTGGTTTGTACATTTAATCGGCTCTATCCCAAGGTTTTAATCAAGTCAGAGGATAATCACAAGGAAAAGAAACAGAGAGAATGGGCAGTGACAATAAGAAACCACAGACAATGGGTGCTCAGTGGCCCACACTGGACAGAAGAAACTTACAGTGCAAACAGAGAGGGGAAAGGAGATAGAAAAGAGAAATATCAGGGGAGAGAAGAAAGAGTGAGGGAGCGAGAGAGAACGAAGAGACAGAAAGGGGGAGAGGGGAGAATGAAAAAAAGAGTAAGAAAGAAAACTGCAAACTCCAGACAGATAGGAAACAGGAAAGAGGAGCAAATCCACAGTGAGACAGGCAGTCATTGAAACAAACTGCAGAGAGACAGATGCAGATTGGGAAGGCCAAGAAAGACGGAGCCAGAAAGCAATGGATAGATAAAGTGTATAGAGAAGCCAGAAGGTGGAACAGAAACTGAAAGATAGTTGCAATAATCAGTCCCTCTACAAATTCCAGCCTCAAACCTGCCTGTTAAGAGTCTGGAATAGCTTATGATGGTAAGAAGTTGTCCAGATTTTGCGTAGACATTCTGAAGACGCTCCCGACTATTTCCTGGAAGCAGGTATTACAGAACTGAAACCAAGATACCATCTGCAGTGGTGAGAATCATATTGCTGTGTATTTATGTCAACTCCTGAGATTCATTGGCACTCTTCAGGAATGATGGGTTCAACTGTATAAATAGGTCATTTAAAGTCTCATCAACATTTACAGCCACGTATTGAACCATACAATGGCTAAATGCTTTAAATAACATTGGTGACACAAATGTCAGGTGATTGTAAATGCAACTGGTGTTCCAATTAAGGACACTGCTGAATCCAGCACGACCTCCGTGATAATGCATTACATTCAAAAGCAGCTTCAGTGATATGTGGTTCTCCTTTTTTTTTGGTTGTTGGAGAAGGAAACAACTGTTTTAAAAAATACTGTAGCAATAAAAATATCAGAAAGCATTCCCCATTGAAAATATCACTATGGAGATAAGGGGGGTTTCTTAGCAATCAAGCAGGGCTGGCTCATCACTCCTGGAGTCTGACTGGCGGAAGGGGTTCCGGAAGGAAGGCTCTGGCGATGGGGTCTCTGCACAGATGTGTTTGTGGCGAGGCATTGATAGGGAACATGGTCTTTCTGTCACAGACTCTGGGCAACTGCAACACTGACTCCTGCATGCAGGAGAAACCGAGGTGAAACTCTGCTGCCTGGGATCTTGGTGATGGTCGGATTCTGCTGAAAAGTAATTTCTCCCCAGCACTGTTATATTCATTGTAATCGAGCTCCTGGCCCTGCCTCCTGCAGACCTCATGGAGACGGTGCGAGAGCCAGGCCGAAAGTGGTGTCGGCGGCTGCTGAAGCTCCACTCCAGATTGCTAGACAGGGGCTCACGGATACGCACACCTCTGCTACAGCTGCTTCTTGATGACTGCCTGAGAGGGAAGTCAAAGTCAGTGCTACAAGTCTCCTCAGAACTTGAAGAGTGCAGTAAGCAAGGGGTCTGCAGCTCTGTCTGACCATCTGAGCTGGGCGATGAAGAAGCTTTTGGCACTGAGTTTTCTAACATCAAGGCATTTGTCGTAATCCCTGACGTTTCACCAACTGGTCGATCGGTCTCTGTGTCAGTGTCTGAGTCAGGCTCCTGTTGAGGTTGTACACAGTTTCGCCGGCTCTCATCCTGTTGGCAGTTCCGCACTGTCTCACTCTGATCCAGATGAGATGATGGAGCAGTTGAGGCAGAGGTTGGGGTGAGCAGAGGTATAAGCCCCCAGCTCCTGGGTCTCTGGAAGAACCTGCTCCAAATCCTGCTGAGGCGTCCACGTGGGGACATCCTGCGTGCGGCGTGGCGACGAATTTGGCGTCTCATAGCTGAGCGTAGGTTCTGCAGGACAGAGGCCTGAAAACAGAGAAAAAACAGCTTAAAACTTTCACAGAATTTAGCTTGGCATCTTTAATTGACACTGAAACCTGCAGATTCCAGAAAATATAAAGGACCGTCCCACTCCTTTCACAGTAATTACCAATAGTGGAGTATAGTTACATAGACACCTGATTTACACCCCCACCCTGACCAGGTTTCACACACAAGCTTAGTCTTTCAGCTGAGACATTCAGCCTCCTGGGCTCAATTTAAAGGAGGTTGGGAAATTTTCCCCAATGTCTTCGCCAATGTTTATCTCTCGACCAACATCACTGAAATAAATTCTCTAGTTACTATGGTACTGGTGTATGTAACTTGAATGGATACGGTGGACAATGGTTCAGACATCTACCACCACAGCTGGATAAACGACACAAAGCACTATTAACTCCCACTCCTGTTATAACTGCTCACTATTCCAGGATCATCCTGGAATGTAATTGGCCCAGCTCCACTTTATTGTTACATAACGTCTTCTTAAATCATTCCCCCTCACCCTGTCCACCCTCACTTCCAACAACTGCAAGGAGCTAACAGAGTTTCTTGTGCTGTCCCTGTCCCTGTCTCCATCCCATCAGCTGCCCTGGCATCATTTCCTCAAATACACCCTCCTGCTTTCGTACTGAACTGTTATCTTTTTCTGGCCCCTCTCCTTCCTCGCCTGTTTGGCTGTGCCTTCAGTTTCCTACGAACCAGGATCTACAATTCCCTCTTTACAACACTCAGCTTTGCTTTCCTTCCTTAAGAGCTGACAATTACCTGGGCCAAGGGTCTACCTGAGCAGAGGGTCTACCTGGGCTGAGGGTCTACCTGGGCTGAGGGTCTACCTGGGCTGAGGGTCTACCTGGGCTGAGGGTCTACCTGAGCAGAGGGTCTACCTGAGCAGAGGGTCTACCTG